GAAACACACAACAGTCTCTCCACTTGTCAATATGGCTTTCGTAAGGGCCATTCTACCATAGACCCCTTACTACGTTTGGATACATATGTTCATAATGCCTTTGCGAATAACCACTCAGTTATTGCCATATTTTTTTGACCTTGAGAAGGCATATGACACAACTTGGAGGTATAATATTTTGGCCCAAGCCCACTCCTTAGGCCTCCGAGGCAATCTACCATCTTTCCTTAAGAACTTTTTAACTGACAGACATTTCTGTGTTCGAGTCAATAACGTGCTCTCCCCGGACTTTGTCCAAGCTGAAGGTGTCCCTCAGGGATGTGTTCTGAGCACAACACTTTCTCCTTGCTATAAATGATTTGCCTTCTGTTTTTCCATCCAATATTTGGTCATCACTCTGTGTAGATGATTTTGCTATTGCTTGTGCAGGCGCTGACTGTCACCTCATTACAGTTTCTCTCCAGCATGCTGTCGACCATGTTTCTAATTGGGCCACCACGCATGGGTTTAAATTTTCCAGTACCAAAACTCTCCAAATTACTTTCACTAAATGCTCTGTCATCTCCGATCATCCTTTGTACCTCTATGGCTCCCGTATCCCTGAACGTGATACAGTCAGGTTTCTAGGCCTTCTCTTTGACCGTAGGTTATCCTGGAAACCCCACATTACCTCTCTAAAGGCAACTTGTTACAGCTGGCTGAGCCTTCTTAAAACCCTTGCTCATCTTTCATGGGGAGCTGATCGTCGAACTCTCCTTCGCCTACATTCAGCCCTCATTTTATCAAAACTCGATTATGGTGACCAGATCTATTCAGCGGCCTCTCCTGCTACTCTCTCTAGCCTTAACCCCATCCATCACCAAGGATTATGCTTATGCCTTGGTGCTTTTCGCTCTTCCCCTGTTGAGAGCCTCTATGCAGAAGCGAATGTTCCATCCTTGTCTGATCGCCGTGATGCCCATTGCCTTCGCTACTATGTGCACTCTCATGATCTCCACAATCCTTCCATTTATAGAATGGTCACTGATATTAGTAGACATTCTTTATTTGTTCGCCGCCCCTGTTTGCTCCGTCCTTCTCTCTTCGTCTACATTCACTCTTGTCTTCCCTTCAGTTACCGCCTTTAAATGTTCATGTAGCATCTCACTTTTCCCTACCTCCCTGGGAAGTTCCAGCTGTTCGGGTCTGTTCTTTCTCATTCCCTTGCTTGAAAGCCCAACTGCCTACTGTGGCTCCCCGCTTTCTTTTTCTTGACCACTTCCACTCTCATTCTCATGCCATCACCGTGTGCACAGATGGCTCTAAATCTTCTGACGGCGTCGGATTCGCAGCAGCGTTTCCGGACAGCATCGTGCGAGGGCATTTCTATCTTCAGCTAGCATTTTTACTGCTGAATTGTATGCCATTCTTGCAGCACTTATTTGTATTGCATCTATGCCTATGCCATCATTTGTGGTTGTCTCAGACTCCCTTAGTTCTCTACAGGCTATACGGAAATTTGATACACCTCACCCTCTAGTTCTCCGTATCCAACTTTGGCTACGCCGTATCTCTACTAAGCATAAAGATATTGTTTTTTGTTAGGTCCCTGGTCATGTTGACATACAGGGCAATGAACAGGCAGACACTGCTGCACAGTCAGCAGTACATGACCTACCAATTTCATATAGATGTGTTCCATTTCTGGACTATTTTGCTGTAATAGCTACCCACCTTCACACCCGTTGGCAACAACGTTGGTCTGCTCTCCTCAATAACAAACTTTGTTCTATTAAACCGAGTATAGATTACTGGCCGTCTTCTTATCACCAGTGTCGAGGTTGGGAGACGACTATCTCCCTCCTTCGCATTGGCCATACTCGTCTTACTCATGGATATCTCATGGAGAGGCACCCTACTCCTCTCTGTGAGAATTGTCAGGTTCCCTTATCAGTCAGCCACATTCTGTTAGACTACCCACTTTATCAACAAGCATGCAGAATTTACCTCCAATGTTGTCTTCGCTCCGCTGCTCTCTCTTTACCTTCCCTTCTCGCTGATGGACCCACCTTTCATCCGGACTCTCTCATTGACTTTTTGACAACAACTGACTTAATCCACAAACTGATGATACCTTCAACCCTTTCTACCTCAATCTCTTGCTACCCTCTATCCCTGCACTATCCCATGCCCGCTGTTTTCTGTAACCTACTAATCATCCCTCCGCCCTTCTGCCGCCTGATACCCTCGCTTCCTTCCCTACCCTGCAGCACTGTATAGCCCTTGTGGCTTAGCGCTTCTTTTTGATTATAATAATAATTGCCAATGAATGTTGTTGACATTTTCATGTATTACAAAGTAGAAACCTCAGTTTAATGGGCTAAAGATGGGAGAGAATTCCAGTACAGTGGAACCTCAAATATCGAACTTAATCCGTTCCAGGAGTTAGTTCTGAATTAAAAAAGTCTGAAAAGCGAAGCAATATTTCCCATAAGAAGTAATGGAAAATACAATTAATCCGTTCCAGAAACCCAAAAATATTCACAAAAAAAAAAATACATTTTATAGAGATTAATTATAGTTTTACATACAACAAATATAGTGTTCAATTATATATTAATAAATTTAAATAAACATATAAAATAACATTTTGCTTACCTTTATTGAAGATTGGTGATGGCATCTGGAAGATAGGGAGGAGGAGAGAGGGAGTTGGGGTTAGTGTTTGGAAGGAGAATCCCCCTCCATGAGGACTTCAGGTATCAAAGCCCTCTCTGGGATTACTTCTCTTCTCTGTCTTTTAATGCCACTAGGACCAGCTTGAAAGTCACTGGACCCCTGTCTCACAAAATAACTGTCCACAGTCCTCTGTTTCTGGTGCCTCTTTAAGATTTCCCTAAAATGGGACGTGGTTCTGTCACTGAACTTGTTGCAATGATGGCTTGTTTCAGCTTGCTTAGGGTGGTACTTCTCCACAAACATTTTGGACATCATTCACTTGGACATCATTCCACTTCTGTATTATTTCCTTCTTCACATCTATGGTGTTTCTCATTTTCTTTACCACCTTTGGACGAAGACCTACTTCGACTAGTGGATGGTACCACTATGACCTCGCCTCCATCTGCTTCACGTCACCTCACTACAGTATATAAGCCACGTCTACGGCCCTATGCTGTACATTCTACAAGATTGATGTACTGAACACATCGACTCCAGGTTGAGGGACTGATTACCTCATTCTCCTCCTCTCCTTACGCCTTCCTCTTTGTATTGGACTGATGAAGCCACTGTGTGGCGAAACGTTTCCTGAATAAAGATTCCCATATGCTGCATAAGTGTCTCAATCTTCAACCACAGGGGTACCACTAGCAAGTTTCTTTGGGTCCATTGTAGCTTATTTCACAGACCCACAAGCACTAAACACAATGAAATAATCGTAAAATGTTTGAATGAGAACGCAGGTTAGTGTTCGCTCAAGCATCAACAAAACCAGACTGGCTCACGGCGCCTGTGTGGGGACGCAGACAGAGCGGGCTGCCGGACAGGTCCGGTACCCGGTGGTTCGAAAATAGGGGCGAGTTTGATAATAGGGACAAAATTGGTTCGAAAAAAGCGTTCTATTTTCGAAGAGTTTGATAAGTGATACATTCGAAATTTGAGGTTCCACTGTAATGCCATTTGCCCAGTAAATCCAAATAATGATATTCTTTTGCCATGATTGTAACAGTAAGACAGTTCTGTAATCAGTAAACTTATTGCTTCTGAAATAAATTTACCCAGCATCTTGTAACAATAACAGAATTCTGTAATTCATGGAATTTGTTGTTTCCAGCAAATCATAACAATGAAGAATTTTTTTTTATAATCAGTGAACTTTGTTATTTCCAAAATTAATTTACCCAGCAGATTTTATCAGTTTCTTCCAAAATTAAAAAAAAAAAATTGGTGTGAGTAATAGTTTTGGATATTGATGTTTTTAATGTTGTGCTATATTATGCAGAGAATAATAAATTAGAATACAGTGATAGCATGGAAGGTGAAATTTAGTGTAGGAGTGTGGTAAGAAGATTCATATATGTAGAAAGAATGAGACAATTGGTTTATATAGAAGGTATATAAAGTTGAATAAATGTATGGGCAGTGTGAGAGTGCAAAAGAGGAACAATATTAAGTGGTAGAGGCTTAAACAGGCAGGAGGCAAATGTGAGCATAAGAGATGGGTGATCTGAGTATCATCTATGAGAGGACTTTGAGGAACTGGTTAGCCAGATGTAGATTTTTGTAAGTTATAAAGTACATTATCTGCTCTCTTGAAAATAGGGGAAGAGTTTTATAGTTTAGTGGGTCAACATTGGACTGCAAACTTGAAATGTTCTGTTAAAGCGACTGGATGGTAAAATGCTTTTTCAGCTTTGGGCTCACATTGTCATGGTGGGAAATTTTGCTACAGTTTAAATTTTATTACATTCACACATTCATGTGTGTGAGCAGTAAGCTAGGCTCTAGTTTTTCAGAGAATGACCACTTTGTGGAAGTTCCTGTTAATAGAAATGGAATAAGAAAAACTTTGTTTTGGTGAAGAATGCTCAAAATAACCTTTCAGTATGAAAGTAATCAAAAGTACCTTCAGTGGGAGGAGAGTCCATCTATCTCGATCCTCCTCCTCCTCTCTCTACTGTCTTTGCTTTCTTTCTGCTCTCTTTAGTATCCAGTCATTTGACACATTCTTTTTCTCTAATTTTTTCTCCTTTGCACTACCTTTTTGGTTCTTTTCTTATTTATTTTCTTTTTTCTTTCAGTTAACTTACCTTTTTTTTCATTTTCTTTTATTTTATCTCTTTCTACTAAATCTTATAGCTTTAGTAAATTAAGAAATCATTAAAAAATTTTTTTTTCTTTAATAATTTAATTTAAATGCTGGATTAGTGATTGGCTAAATTTCAAATATTCCTTTTAGAGTATGTATTTCTTTGATTCTGGTGTTTTACAAGAAATATTAACCACATAACCCTTGACAGGGTTACCAGGGTGGAAATATGTATCCACCTACGCAGAAATCTGGATCAGCCCCAAGTCCTGGCCCTCCTGGCCCAAACGCTCCCTCTGGCTATACGGGTCCACGGCGACATCCAGATTTTGAAAAGTCACAGCCGCCAGGTATGATAGTTACTGAGTTTGAAGTTGTGGTTAGTGTAGTATTAATAACTTATAATATTTGAGTGAGTTATGTTTCCACATAGAAGGATGGGGTACCTTGTACCTTATAACACCAGTATACAGTACTGACAAGTTATTAAGTAAGTTGCATGTGTAACAATAAGGTATCTGTTCTGAAACGTTTTGCCTACACAATAGGCTTCTTCAGTCGAATACAGTGGAGACAGGACATCTTCAACAACTTTATTGCCTAACCAAAAGTTACAAGTGATAGAGGCTGGATTTCAAAGGGACCTGCTACAGCATGGGTCACTAGATTACTACAGCACCTCTCAGTCTTACATTCTTACTTCTGCTTGTGGACCCTGCCTCTTCTGTTGTCTTCAAGATTTACTGTGTCCCACCTTTGGCATTATATAAGACTTCATTCTCATGCTTCAGCTTCCTATTGTTCCAGACTATGGAGCTGAATTCTTCTCCAGGCCGAGGGACTGATCACCTCAAACTATTGACAGACTGATTACATTTGTGTAGGTGTAACATATTGGAGTAAAGTTAGCTACCTAGTTGTTGCACATGAGGTTTACTTATCTACCATGTATCTTGATGCTGGTGAAGGACACTTGGTCCAAGGAATTTAGCTACCCTTGCCTTAATTACTTTCCATTCCTTAGGTGTTGTATAACCCCTGTGGGTTCAGTGCTTTCCCACAAATGCAGTAAAAAAATTTTATTAGCATAGTATTTAATTTTATTATGTATTCAATTGACTTTTTCTAGCATCTTTATAACAGGAGTAGTTTTACGATGTAAAGAATTTCTAGTGTGTGTTATTGCTTATGAACTCATCCTAAATGTCTGAAATTAACATACAGTAAATAAATATAGTGGGATTGAGACTGATGGCAAGACAATCCCAAACTAGGTGGCTAGTGTGTTACCCATTTATGTACAGTATTCATATTATGCAAGAATCGCGAACAAGCAATACAAGATGCAAAACAACCACAGGGGGAGTTGAATAATAGCTGTAGGCCTTTTGTGTTGAAATCAACACATCAGGAGCTTGCAGAGTTGCAGAAATGAGTAAAAAATCTCAGCAGATTGGTTCCAAGGGATGCTAGCAAGCGTCCCTTGGAACAAATTGCTAAGATTTCTTAGTCGTTTCTGCAAATTTGCAAGCTCCTGATAATGTGTTGATTGCAACATGAAAGGCCTAGAGCTATATTTCAACTCCCCTTGTGGTTGCTTTGAAGATTATTCATATGTATAATTCTTTTCATTAGTGTTACTCCTAATTTAAGTTTGTAGGGAATGCTTTGTATAATTATGGGCTTTTCCATGTATGAGATAAACTGTTAACTAATTCTTGTAACACTTATGCACCTTATGTAAAAATAAATAAAATATTGTATTATTATTATTATTTTGTAAAGAAAGTAAGTTGAAAATGAACACAAATAAGAGCAAGGTGATGAGGGTATCAAACCAGTTAGGTAAAAAAAAATTGGATATATTGGAGGGAGGGAGTATGGAAGAAGTGAATGTGCTCAGATATTTGGGAGTAGACTTGCCAGCAGATGGGTTTATAAAGGACGAGGCTAACTGTAAAATTGATGAAGAAAAAAGGTGAGTGGTGCATTAACCTTTTGACTGTTGCAATCCCAAATCCCGAAGTGTCTCCTGGTGTCGAAAAATTTTTTGGAAAAAAAAATTATTTCATAAGAAAAAAAAAATGTTTTTTTTTCCTTATGAAATGATAGAGAATCTTTTCCTGATGGTAATGACACCAAAAGTGTGAAATTTGATCGAAAACTTGTGGAATTGCACTCCCACGAAGTTAGCAATCTCAGTGATATATACGCATTGGCAATTTCACTGACTTTGAGCCCAATTTCGGCCAATTCCATTGTTTCAGTCCTACCAAACTCATAGCTATTTCTTTAGAACTCCATTTTTTCTATAAATTGAGTACAATAACCCACCCATTTACCGATTTCAACTACCCAATAAAGTGGTCAGAAATTGGCAATTTGGCCTATTTCACGCAAATTAAAAAAGATGCCAATTTCAAAATTGGGTCCAGAATAAACAGTGCAGACATTCTTGGCACTAAAATAACATATCCTCTGTTTATTAGTCACGTCTCCAGGGCCCTCTTATATTACTCTTGCTATCTATTTTGTATTTTTAATTCAACACAAAAATAAAGATTTACTGTTATGCAGACTACTGCATTATTGTGAAAATAGTATAAATAATATCACTGCACTAGTGAAAGAATATTAGACTCCCCAGCTGATGTGTATTGGACGTGTGGTGTGATTTGCTTACTCTTGAACATTGGTAAAAATCAAACATTTCTGCTACTTTGAGCTCAATTTCAAGGTGATTTTCATCATGAAACTAATCAAAATCATCTCTATTTCTGTAATGTTTTCCATTCTATCAAATGAGACCAAGAAAACGAGAATACAACCATAAATACTATAGGAAAATACACCTCAAAGTCAGCATTTTAATCCAAAAACACCACCAGAGTTTTTTCTCTCTCATGCACTGCGTGCTGCAGGATTTTTTTTATACAGTGCACACTGACCACACAGACCCATTCTCTCACATGTGGCTTACCAGCTTTCTCGCTTAATTGAAGCCGCTAGAATTATTGAGTATATGTACATCCGAAACACTGGCTCATAAGACGTTTTTATTATTTTATTATCACACTGGCCGATTCCCACCAAGGCAGGGTGGCCCGAAAAAGAAAAACTTTCACCATCATTCACTCCATCACTGTCTTGCCAGAAGGGTGCTTTACACTACAGTTTTTAAACTGCAACATTAACACCCCTCCTTCAGAGTGCAGGCACTGTACTTCCCATCTCCAGGACTCAAGTCCGGCCTGCCGGTTTCCCTGAATCCCTTCATAAATGTTACTTTGCTCACACTCCACAGCACGTCAAGTATTAAAAACCATTTGTCTCCATTCACCTACCCCCAAAAACAGCTCACACAGCCTGCGGGAAGCCCAAGGGCCCCGCAACAAAACCCCCTTTACCCCCTCCCCCAACCCCCTTCCGGGCCCGACCCCCCCCCCCGCTTCCCTTTCCCCATACGACTGATACACTCTTGAAGCATTTTTTTCGCCCCATTCTCTTACATGTCCGAACCACCTCAACAACCCTTCCTCAGCCCTCTGGACAACAGTTTTGGTAATCCCGCACCTCCTCCTAACTTCCAAACTACGAATTCTCTGCATTATATTCACACCACACATTGCCTCAGGCATGACATCTCCACTGCCTCCAGCCTTCTCCCTCGCTGCAACATTCATCACCCACCTTCCACCCATATAAGAGGCGTTGGTAAAACTATACTCTCATACATTCCCCTCTTGCCCCCAAGGACAAAGTTCTTTGTCTCCACAGACTCCTAAGTGCACCCACTTCACTCTTTTTTCCCTCATTCAATTCTATGATTCACCTCTCTTTCATAGACCCATCCACTGAAAACTCCTCCAAATACTAAATTTACGTTTCACCCCTCCATACTCTCTCCCTCCATCTGATATTCAATCTTTTCATCACCTAACTTTTTGTTATCCTCATAACCTTACTCTTTCCTGATTCACCTTTAATTTTCTTCTTTTGCACACCCTACCAAATTCATCCACCAATCTTGCAACTTCTCTTCAGAATCTCCCAGAGCACAGTGTCATCAGCAAAGAGCAGCTGTGACAACTCCCACTTTGTGTGTGATTCTTTATCTTTTAACTCCACGCCTCTTGCCAAGGGCCCTCGCATTTACTTCTCTTACAACCCCATCTATAAATATATTAAACAACCACGGTGACATCACACATCCTTGTCTAAGGCCCACTTTTACTGGGAAAAAAATTTTCCCTCTTTCCTACATACTCTAACTTGAGCCTCACTATCCTCGTAAAAAACTCTTCACTGCTTTCAGTAACCTACCTCCTACACCATACACTTGCAACATCTGCCACATTGCCCCCCTATCCACCCTGTCATACGCCTTTTCCAAATCCATAAATGCCACAAAGACCTCTTTAGCCTTATCTAAATACTGTTCACTTATATGTTTCACTGTAAACACCTGGGCCACACACCCCCTACCTTTCCTAAAGCCTCCTTTTCATCTGCTATCCTATTCTCCGTCTTACTCTTAATTCTTTCAATTATAACTCTACCATACACTTTACCAGGTACACTCAACAGACTTATCCCCCTATAATTTTTGCAATCTCTTTTATCCCCTTTGCCTTTATACAAAGGAACTATGCATGCTCTCTGCCAATCCCTAGGTACCTTACCCTCTTCCATTCATTTATTAAATAATTGCACCAACCACTCCAAAAAAACTATATCCCCACCTGCTTTTAAACATTTCTATCTTTATCCCATCAATCCCGGCTGCCTTACCCCTTTCATTTTACCTACTGCCTCACGAACTTCCCCCACACTCACAACTGGCTCTTCCTCACTCCTACAAGATGTTATTCCTCCTTGCCCTATACACAAAATCACAGCTTTCCCAATCTCATCAACATTTAACAATTCCTCAAAATATTCCTTCCATCTTCCAATACCTCTAACTCTCCATTTAATAACTCTCCTCTCCTATTTTTAACTGACAAATCCATTTGTTCTCTAGGCTTTCTTAACTTGTTAATCTCACTCCAAAACTTTTTTTTATTTTCAACAAAATTTGTTGATAACATCTCACCCACTCTCTCATTTGCTTTTCTTTTTACATTGCTTCACCACTCTCTTAACTTCTCTCTTTTTCTCCATATACTCTTCCCTCCTTGCATCACTTCTACTTTGTAAAAACTTCTCATATGCTAACTTTTTTTCCCTTACTACTCTCTTTACAATCATCATTCCACCAATCGCTCCTCTTCCCTCCTGCACCCACTTTCCTGTAACCACAAACTTCTGCTGAACACTCTAACACTACATTTTTAAACCTACCCCCTAC